CTGTGTTCCAAGCCTAATAAAATAATAAAAAATAATAATTACATTCCAATAAATGTATTTGCAAATAATAAGCATAGTTCATAATTAAAATTAAAAAAAAATAAAAATTAAAATTTAAAAAAAATAACTTTCGTAATTAAAATAATTCCGATATTAAGAACAAAATCTTTTGGAATCTCGCCCATTGTTCTTTAAGTAACTGTAATTAGAGCCTGACTCAGTTCACTTGAGCAGCTGCGCGCCGTTACAGCGAAAGCAACTGTAAATTTGCCAAATGAGGAATTCTTGGGTCCAAAGAAAAGTCGGCTTCAAGTCCGATCTCGCTGCTAATGACAAGCTACAAATTAATGGGTTCAACATCTCAAAAGTATGTGGCAAATAAAAAATAGTCAAGACACTTGCCACTTGAACCCGTGCACTCATAAAAACACACACACATACTCAGCTTAACATACACACACACACACATTGTGTGTTAGTTAACTGTCGTGTCTATGGCAGCAGCTGCACGAGGCCAAAAAACTCTCACTAGGCACTTAAAAATTAACGCTTTTGACAGCCAAACGGACTTTCAAATGTCCAAAGAGCAACGCAGCCAAGCGGCCAACTAGCCACAAGTTGTGGCAAGCTGAATGCGCAGGCGCAACAATGTGTCAATGTGCCGAGCGAGCGGCAGCTTTAACAAGATTGGCAGCGACGTCGACGGCGTCGTCGTTGCTCATGTCGGCGGCAGATGAGACACCGACAACGAGCTGGTCGTGGCCAATCTTCAGATTTTCTCATAAGGTGCAAAATCTCTGGATATCATCATAAAAGACGAAACAACCGAAAACATGCACAGAAATGAACCCGCGAGCCGGCAGAAGAAACAAAGTCGTAAAAGCCGCAGCCGCCAGAGCAGACAGAAACGCCTCTTTTAAGTTCTGGCCCCAGCTAAAGAGCAGAGCAGTGCGAGAGAGAAAGAGAGAGAGAGAGACAGAGAGGGGCAGCTAAAGATACTTCCTAATTAGCTGGCCGACTGCTTTGCAATTGAGGGCGACTGAGCTTCAATATTTTTAGTATATATTTTATTATTATGCTGTATTGTTGTTATTCTTCTTCTTGTGCTTTTTTCATGGCAAATGCACACAGCCTCACAGCCCTCTCTCTCTCTCTCTCACTCTCTCTCTCTCTCTCTCTCTCTCTCTCTCTCTCTCTCGCTGAACGTGAATCCTCTTGAACAATGGAGCAGTTAAAATCTGTGGCTAATAAATAAATTAAGTCTTTAACGATGACAACGCGGGCGCAAAGCCAGAAGCGGCTCCGCAGGGCGCTTGAACATCTCAATTATGTTGTTGAAGCTCATTGTTTTTGGATTTTTTCTTAATTTTCTGATGGTTATGTGGCTATTTTGTTGTTACTGTTGTTGTTGTTGTTGTTGCTTACGCTTATCTCATCGCCGATCGGCCACAGCTGCCCAAATTGCGGAAATTCGCCGGCCGTGCGGCAATACAATTTAAATGGGCTCATAAATGTGCTCAAATGCCCCCAACTCCCCGAATGCCCCCGAATGGCCTGAGGTTTACTCATCTGACATTTTGCGTCCCATCTATGCGAATTATTTCGCCTCCAATTAAATATGTAATCATATTTTTGTTTATGCTCCTAATTAGCTAATTTGCAAACAATTAAAATCAGAGTTCGCATTGCCTCGATGCGTCCATTTGCCCACAGCCAGTGCCACTGGCCACAAAGTTGCCAACTCATTTGATTGCCGATAGATGCGAGCGCGTAAAGCCAACTCATGGCGGAACAAATGCGTACAAAAGGTGAAATTGTCTGGAAAGTGAAATGTTTGCATAACAAACGTCCAAATCTGAATGAAAGCTCCAGACTCTACATGCTGTAAGCGTTGCAGTGCAAAGCAACTGCCCGACTCACGAGAGATAATATTATAATAAGAGATTACCACTTGGCGTGATCAGAGTCTTACCCTTTAATGCACGCAGTAAATGAATTCTATTAGATAAATTTTCTCTTGCTCCATATAGAAGGAGAAAGAGAATTGGCTGAATTAAACAGATTCATACAGAACACAAATATACAACTAAGTCAGATCTTTCAATGTGACATTAAAATAGGTGATAAAAATATTATAGATAGTTTCTAAATTATGATTTTAGTATTTGCTTCATATTTCATTCGCCTAACTTTCCATTTCAATCATAATCTATTTTGACAAACATTCAGTTGTTGCCAAAAAAAAAAAAAAAACGAGAGAAGAGAAATTCAGTTCCCACGTTTGGCAAACGGGAATACAGTTTTATAACCGTAACCAGACACATAGCTCTGGCCCTGAGAATATTTCGTGATGTCCACCTGCAAAAACCTAAACTAAAATTGAAGAGGAAAGAAGATCTGTTGTTGCAATCCCGTACGCCCGCTGTATATGTATCTGCTAGTCCCAGCTGCGTGCCTCACAGAGCCTCACAGAGCAGCTACGCACGGAATCGTTTTTTCTTTCWTTCAGTGTTTTATTTTGTTGTTGTTTTCTTACATTTTGTTCAGCAGGTAATTTCGTATATATAAAGCGTTTCCAAACAATCGAGTTTTGTAAATGACAATTTTTCTGTGTGAACTGCCTGTGAGCAGAAATAGAACAAAGCCATGGCCAGGCAATGCACCTGAGCTAGTGAAAGATCACGTCTATTGTGCGGCTGGGAGAAAATAATGCTTTATATAATTATAAAAAAAAAGTCCGCTCTAACAGCATGCTATGCCAATGACAGGGGCTTAAGAAAGCAGCTGCCAAAAAAAAAAAAACCCACACACACAAAACAGAAAATGAAAAAACTAAAACAAGTTCGTTGCTTGAGTCTTTTGTTTTGCAACGGGGCGCTCGTCAAGTTTATTTTTTTATTGCTTATTTGGGCTAACGCAGCCTGGTAGCCTGCCTCAGCCTCATCTCCGTTCGATTTAAGGCTACACTACTGACAAATGAGCAGCATATCCTGTTGATCCTGTTGTAAGGAAATAATTATACGGCTCCCGAACGTGTGAACGCTGCAGCTTTAATTGCACAAATAATTAAAAGCTCATAAATTAGCGAATTGCAGCAAAAACGAAACGTGCAAATTTAATTATGGACCAACTCAATTAATTCATTAAAGCAACGGCAACGGCAACAACAACAACAACAACAATGACAACGACAGAAGCAACTGCCAAAGCACACCTTCTGCAGTTGAATCAATCAACGCCAAATACTTGCAGAGACGCGCCTTTTTCCCTAAGGACGTGGGTAGTGCAGCAACCGGTTTGCCGTCCTTACGCATCCTGGGGCGCACTTAGAATATGCATTATGCAACTGGCCGGCGACAGCCAGCAGCAGAAGTGCGCCCGGGTCGGGGCTTTCATAATTTATTGATTTTATATGGCGTCACATTTGTCTCTCTGTCTGTCTCTCGACACTGAACGCTGACAGTTTTTGCCACTGCCATCGTCGTCGTCTTCTTCGTCGTCGTCGTCATCGTCGCAGCGACATTTTGACAGTTGCAGGTTGTCATCGCAGTGCGCCGCTCTGCTGTCACCTTAATTGCAACTGACGCATTGCCAAAAATATATTTATATATATGTACGTACATTCAAGCCACTGGCGCATATCCTGGCTTCCTGCCTCGTTGCCGTCTCGAGATAAGCTCGACTGTCATTTCAATTTCGCAAGCTGCCAAATAAACAGCGCAAGGTGCGCTAGCCAGTCTCCCAGTCTCTCGGTTACCCTGTCCCCATCCCTCACGCAACATCTTTCAGTTCTCTCTCTCACACTCTCTTGCCTTGTCACTCCTGTGGAACTACTAGTACTCTTATCCAGTTGCTGAACCACTTCTTCGCCATCAGACATGAATGATTAAATAATATGTCAGGCCTGGGGCAACCCTTTAGATATAATTCCTCGCTGTACGGCAGCATTGAGTCGAACGGAAGTTTGTGGCTTAGCTCTTTTGTTTTGTGGTAGGGTAAGCTGTTAACGGCTACCCAAATTATCAGCTTAATAATTACAAACGTTGCATCATAAACTTGGCGACATTGTGGCATCAGTTGCACCACTGCAAAGTTAATTGAGATGCAAGCAATTATATGCAAGCTCTCTGACTGAACTAGATATCGATTTTAAGGGCTGATTAGATATATGTATGTAGTCAATGAAATATATTACAATAAAACCAAATGAAATATTGATATAAGCATTCTGCACTTTATGCTTTAAAGCTATAATAATTTAAATTAATTACTTAATTGAATTTAATACGCCCAACAGTTTTCTTTAGAGAAATGCTTTCAATAATGCAATTTATTTTTATGAATTAATAATATATAGTCTCCCATCGCCTTATCTTTTGAATGACGTATTTCATATGCGCATTTCAAATATCACCATGGACTATCTTAAAAATATACCAATATTAACTTTCTTTAATCATATGCATGTCGTGGCTGGCTCCAGCTAAAGGTGGCCAAAATATTTGGGGTCGCTTTTACTGTGAACTCATCTCATTACAAATTCGCTTTCCTACACATGCAACATAATTAAAAGGTCAACCCTCTCTCTCGAGTAAGACTTTCGATGAATAGATAATAAACTAACGAAATGCAGAGGCGCTGCAATTAAATAGAAAGCATGCCGTTGCTGAGCCCAGCTGACAAACCCCTTTGACCCATTAATTCTAACGAAACCTTTCGGGCATTACGGCTAGCAGGTGCAGCGCGCGGCATGCACCAGGTTAAACAGTCTGCTAATGATATCAATAAAACGTAAATAAAACGATGCAGCGGCGCAGTCATAAACGAAATTGTTGGGCAGCTCCGAATATGCCACAATTAAAATGCAATTTCGTGCAAATCCTTGATGCAACTGTATAACTGTAAATGCAGCCCTGCGTTGCACCTGCGGCTCGACCTGTTGCAGATGCCTATCACAATTTGCCTGGTTGCTCATTAACGGCAGCGCAGCCGAGCGAAGCGTATTTATTTTTATTAATTTTAATAGCGAATTGAATGCATTCGTATTCGTTTTTGTGTCGTCTGCAACATGCAACATGCAACTGCAGCAGCAGCAGCAGAGCCGCGTGGCAATTGCAGCGTGACCAATGCCCAAAAATTGAACTTTCGACTAGGGAGTGAATATCAGCTCGATGCACGCGCTGCTCAACCCTTTAGCATATCGAAATGCATTCGAAATGAACCAAAAATACGGCGAGCGTTAAATTTTGTTAGCGGTTCGTTCGGCTGCCCCATTCCCATCCTCATCCTCATCCTCATGGTCATGCTCGTCCTCATCCCCGTCCTGTGTTCGATTTCTACGCTTTCTACACTCACTCGCTCGACGGACGAACAGGTGTAATGATTTTGCTTTGCACCTTGACTGCTGCTTCCGTTTCGATAGGCTCAGTTGTTGTTGTTGCTGTCGTCGTCGTCGATAGCTTTTTGGCTGAGGGTAATTTGTGTGTCTTTACTTCCTCACCACAAAAAAACAAAAAATAATAATAAAAAAAAAACATTTACAATTTTATTTATACAGGGTGTCCCACGCAGCAATCTTTGAGCTTATAATTTGATTACAATTGGCGCCTTGGAGTTAGCCTTTTCAGCTTTTGAGTAGAAGCTTAGAGACGTGAAGTTGATGCAAATCTACTCTACACTCACCCAGCTCCTTCTTCCGCTTATTCTCTTCGGATTCAGCGTGCATAAACATTGAAAGTGCATAGTGCAAAATTGGCAGCACGACAAACAACTTTGGAAACGTCTGCCATTTAATATTCATGTTTTAACGTACAATTTATATATACAAAATATCGAAACTTATGATGACAGAGTTATCATTTAACATAGATTCTTATTAAATACTAATGAACTGAAACTCGAGGCACCCTGTATATATTTGCCCCTGTTTAATCGTTAATTTCATACTAAGGACTTTATTATCGGCATTGTATCGTAAGCGATACAAAGCAGCAGCATTTAAGCACACTGAGAACAAATTCATAGCATTAAAGAGAATTTCTAGAAAAATGTAAAATTTATTTGTTTATATAAAGAGTATTTCTAGAAATAATTAAAACTAGTTTTATT